TTTCAAGACGTAGGGGTATAACTACAATAGGTATGAAAAGGCTTAAATTTCAATTTGAGTACTTATAAAAATTAATATAGAAACAAGAGCAGAGAGATTATGCTTATAAGTATAAGTACGTGCTTATGTATGTATGTAAATTTATACTCGTAAACTAATTTAGTAAATTTTGGGCTAACGTTAGTTACAAAGAAAAAATTCAATTAAACATATGCATTTAGGCGGAAGGCAACGAGAAATCTACAATTCATTTATTGAATTCTCCCCCTTTTTTTTTGTACTTCAGTTTAAGTTCAAAGAGCCAACCGATAAAAAGGAGACGCGGCAATATAAGTATTTGCGCGAGTTTCTGAGTACCTTTCGATTTGTACAAAAAAAATTATTGGAACTCTGCACACATCAAAACCCAAACAGAACCCACAAAACCCAAAATTATGTTCACTACTTTTCTTATTGCCGATACGTATTACTAAGAAAATATATAAAAGTTTAAGAGATCACTTACATCATAGCTCCCACGACGAAAGATCTTTCGATGCGCGTGTTGATGTGTGGTGATGCTGAAACTTGTATATTATGAGTGTTGCTGGTTTCGGTTAAGTGAATATATATAATTTCGAGATATTTTTGGTTGACTGCATGCAGAATTATTCTCCCCCTTTCTTTGTACAACAAATTTAGGCGCGTGTAACGCATTGTTCGTGCATTCAGAACTCTTTGTGTGCTTAACTAAAACCGAAGTTCTTCTTTTTTCTAACTTTCATACATATATGTACTTATGTGGTAATTTATTTCTCCACGCAGCTCCCGTCACTCTGAGCACAAAACTAGTCAATTATTCTTATACGGCTGAAGCCCTCACTAATGAGTATCGCGGGTTATATTTTCCCAATTTTCCAATTTTATTATATTTTCCCTTGGGGGGGGGGAGAGTTAGTGAAGCGGCAGACAAACGCACCAAGTGTGGGGGCGGTTATTAGCACCACTATACGAGCACCCGTGGACGATTGCTGGCCAACTGACACCAGCACTACGGCGCAGGGGAAGGAAAGAAGGACAGCTTTTTGCCAATCGCGGTATTTCCAATTTTGCACTCTGTTCGTAGCCCCTGAGTGGGCTCGGTGTGGATTTTTCGTTACCTTTGGAGCGTTAATTGCGTGCCAGATCTACACAGGAATACTAAGAAAATACGCCGAATTGTGAGATGTGCCAGAGAGACTTACCCTATAGGAGATGGCACCCAAATGGGATACAATTGGTGTCCGAACCCAAGGCAGCCCTACTCGTCTTTTCCTCGTACATACGACAAAGGGGATGGGTGGCAACTTTGTACGCAAAATGAAATGCGGTTTCCTCGTAGCTGGTGGCTACTTTGGGCCAAAGAAATTCCTAGAATTCATGCCCTTAGCGCAAAACAAAAACCACATTTTTATTGCTGCAATCCGTACTTACTTTTTCTCGGTATTGAACGCAATTCAGCCCAGGTGTGTTGAGAAATAGCTTTTGTACAATATTTCCGAATAAAACTAGCGCTTGAAAACTTTAATAAAATTCCACGTGTTAACACTTCACCTGGTGAAGATCGGGGCGCCGTAGTAAGCGTATGCGAGCACTACCGATCTGATTGAAATCCACGAGAAAAAGGCTGAAGTTAATCGGTACTTCAAAAAGGAAACCTCCTTTGGCGGAAAACTTTCCTCTCCCAAGTTGACAAAAGAAAAATACAAAGCAATAAACGTCCTCTTAAAGCAAATTCTCCACTGACTTTTACTCTTGCCACAAGAAAAAAAAACGAACGATAGGTGGCGACACCAGCTGCCTGAAAATATGAGAATGAAATGGGGTTGCCAGCTTATGGGTTCGACATCCATTTCTAGAGCACGTTATCTTTGTAGGGCGACAAGCGACACTACAAGTCCCCCCCGCCAAGATCACACTTTACGGGGAAGCAACCAGCAAGGGTGATCAACGCTTGGAGCGAACATTTCTCCAATAATAAGGAAACTATTGCTTTATATCCTTGGCGTGAAATTTACCAACAGGGCGGCCTTGCAAATCCTCAAGCTCATAGTAACAATTGCCAAGTTTACGTCTTATTCTAGCCTTTAGGAAAGTGGGAGCTAGCTTCGCGGTGAGACCTTTGGAAAAATTACTTTGCTGGAAATTACGACGGTACACTTCTTGGCCGGCCGCGAAAGACACATTGCGACACCTCAAGTAAACGACCTTTCATTGCGGCTGTGCTGGTTTCTCATACAGTCAGCCGCTTTTGTTCTCAAAATATTAAATGAATCGTCCTTATCAAAATGAACTGAATGATCCTCAAGTACGCTTGACTTGCGAAGAAGCTCGTATGTAGATCCATGGGTGATCATATGTTGGCCAAAGACAAGTCGATACGGGGTGGTGTTAATGGCAGTGTGGGAGTTGGGCGTCCCAATTGGACTGGTCAGGGTGAATGTACGCTTTTATAGCCGACAGTACGGAGCGGTTAACCCTTTCGGAGGCGTTCGCTTGAGGAGCATAAATAGCAGTGTACGAGTGGTGGATTCCATATTTATCAAGCAACGCGTTAAAGACCATTGATTTGAACTGAACTCCATTGTCAGATACCATCACATCGGGCACTCCGAAGCACTGGAACAAATCTTCCTCCATAAAACGCACAATAGATTCAGCTGTCATTTTCCTGACAGGCCTCAAAAAGGGAAACTTTGAGAAGTGGTCCAGCACTACCAAAATGTCAATGTTTCCTGAGCGCGATCTAGGATACGGACTTAAAAGGTCGATAAATATCCTTTGAAAGAATCTGGAAGTTTCGGTTGGATTTGCCAATGGAGGGCGTAGCACACGATTGGTGTGTTTGGTGCACTTGCAAATAGAGCAGCTATTTACGTAGTCTTTCACATCAGTGACTAAATTTGGCCAGTAATAAAAACGACGTAATCTCTCTAGCGTTTTATTTATGCCTCCATGAGATGCAAGGAGGTCATGATGAGCCAATTTCAGGGCTGTTGGGACCAGGTCTCGTGGAAGCCACAACTTCCATGCCAAATCATCGGCTACCTTTTCTCCGGGTGCATGCTCCGAACGGCGGTACACAAATTTATCAATAACTTTGACATCCGGTAAATGTGAACGGTTCTCCACAGCCTTAGCCTTCAACTTCTCATATTCCTCAGAGTTAAAGTGCTCGGAATCCAAATCTATAAAATGCTCAACATTAAGTGCAGACAAATCCTCAGTGAACGTGCGTGACAAAGCATCTGGTACCACGTTCTGAGTACCCTTCCTATGCTGTATCTTGAACGAATAGCCCTGCAGCTTGAGATCCCAACGAGCTAAGCGGCAACTAAGATCGGACTGGGACATTAGCCACTTCAACGAGGCGTGGTCTGTGACTACGGTGAAGTCATGACCTTCCACATACGCTCTAAACTTTTTAGTACTCATGATGGCAGCTAGACATTCCTTTTCTGTCACCGAATAACTACATTGACACTTATTGAGCGTGCGGGACGTAAACGCGATGGGAATCTCATCGCCGAAACTATTAATTTGCATGAGGACTCCACCAATTCCAGTGTGACTGGCGTCACAATGGATAAAAAAAGGCGTGATGAAATCCGGACTATGCGAGACAGGGGCCTCGGTCATATGAGTTTTCAACGCTTCAAAGGATTTCTGAGCATCAGCCGTCCATTCAAACTTCCGTTTTTGCTTAAGAGCGTCAGTCAGAGGAGAAGCGATAGAAGCGTAATTTTTGATAAACTTATGATACCACCCGTTCATTCCGAGGAAACGGCGTAACTGTTTGACACAGCGAGGAACTGGATATTCAGTGATTGCGGCGACTTTATCAGGATCCGTGCTGATCGTACCATTGCCGATAACATGCCCTAGATAGTGCACTTGCTTCAAGCAAAATTTGCTTTTTTGCACATTGATCGTTAGACCATCTTTTCCTATCTCGCATGCGACCACTTTTAAGACGCCAAGATGCCGCTCGAAGGTATCAGAAA